ACCTGACTAGAGTGCAGTGGCGTCATCATAGCTCACTGCAACCTCAAACTCCTGGGCTCAAGCAATCCTCTTGCCTCAGCCTCCAAAGTACCTGCAACTACAGGCACGCAGCACCACACCCGGCTAATTTTCCTATTTTTTGTAGAGACAGGGTCTAGCTCTTGCTCAGGCTGGTCTCTAACTCCTGAGCTCTAGAGATCCTCCTGTCTCAGTCTCCCAAAGTGCCAGGGTTACAGGCATGAGCCACCACACCTGGCCTTGTATTTATTTTGGTATAATTTTCAAGCCGTATCTAGGGTTTTTTCCCACTCTGTCCACCTTGAAGGGTTATCACGTGTCTAGGTTTTAGAACAGTATGTTCTGAGAATCAATAGCAAGTCACTGTCTCAGCAGCTATGAGTCTGCTTTCCCATGACACAAATACCTCCTCACCTCTAATGTTGCTTTCTTATTGTAGTCATTTTTATAACATCAGTATTATTAGAAATACAACAATTTGGTATTAGTATATATGACCAATTTTAATATTTTTTTGCCATACAGGAAGACTTCATAGTTATTAAAAATTTGTTTGAACTGGATTAAGTATCATAATTTATAATTGGAAAAAGAAAGTCTTACTTTATATAGTTGAAATCAGCTTTTAGGTTGAGGGAAGTAGAACTGGTACTCTTTTTCAAGTCATGGATAGCATTCTGCCAGTCCTGTACAGCAGCCCAATCAGCAATTGAGATGTAGCACTCACATGCTTTATTTCCTAAATAATTTATAACCTCAGGGGAAGAGTCAGTTGGTTTGGACAGGACGGTTTTTCTGGATTCACCTGAGTGAAAGTATTTTATGAAATAAGAAGAGAGAGATTCAGAGTAATTATAAATGTTTCAAAGAGTATACAAACCTAAAAATATACAGTAAGATCCTCAGTACAGAATATTTGACTACAATTTTTGCTTTGTTTCATTTAAATAATGAACGCTCACCATTCAGAGAATGCTTGGGGCTGGCACTGTTACGCCCAGCATTGGCCAACGTGAGCACAGACTTGTCAAAGCTGGAGATGCAGCAATCCACACCTGTCATGGCACACAGGTGCTCCTGGTACTCCACAGAGGCCTTTTCAAACCTTAAATGCAAATCGAAGTTTTATTTTAAATACACATATCACATTTTCCAAAAAAATAATAGTGAAAGAATTGATTACTCAATAAATTAAGCTAAGACAATGAGATAACTATTCTGCAGGGGGGTAAATTATATCTCTTCCTCACAACAGATGAAACTAAGTTCAAAGATAGTTCAATGTTAAAAAATACAAGACAGTATAACTAGTAGAAAATATTGGCAAGTAACAGGTTGAAATGTAAGAAAAGAATGCACAACGTAACAGATCTAACTGCATAATAAGTACACTTCCGGGTGTCCAAAATACAACATAAACATTAAAAACAAATTATAATAAATTAGACATGAATAATCTTAGTGTATAATAAAATCTCACAGATTAATAAAGGAAAAAAAGAGAGGACATGAAGACGACCCATGTTTTTTGTTTTTTTTTTGTTTTGTTTTGTTTTTGAGACAAAGTCTCACTCTGTTGCCAGGGCTAGAGTGCCATGGTGTCAGCCTGACTCACAGCAACCTCAAACTCCTGGGCTCAAGCGATCCTTCTGCCTCAGCCTCCCGAG